GCTAGCTACAGCTGTCCCAGGTCATGGTCAGATTCAAAGCCCGCCAGAGGGGTTCTGAGGGGCTCTGGGCCAGCAGCAGCAGGGTGCCAGGGGGTGCTGGTGAGGGTAACTCACAGGGATTCATGGAAAACTGCATCACGCATCGCATCAGGCTGCCTCTAGGTACCCAGAGACGAGTTAAGTATGATCTTGGTTCTTAATAAACTTTTTGCATGATCGTCTATTAAAGAGTCATAAAATGGGGTTTGTCCTAGAAGCCTGACTCCTTGTCTTAAAGTAGAGCTAGTCATCTCTCCCCAGCTTAGGACAGCGTGAGGTTAGAAAATGCATCTTTTGGCCAGTCTCAAGGAGGGCCTTCGAGTACTGTTGCAAATGAACGATCAGGTGGCCTTAGGCAGAATAGGACAGGCCGCAGGCTGGCTGGCGAGGTTCCCACAGAGCCACAGCTCTGGGGCTTTGAGGGGCGGGGTCTCAGGCCGCGGGTCTCTGCAGCGCCCCCAGATGCTGGTCTGCGCCCTCCGGGCTCACAGCAGGCAGCACTGCCGCCAGGACAGGTGCTTCTCCTGCTGGGGAGGGGCGCTGGATTCTGGCTGGGCTGTGGGCCGGAGGTTTCATAGGGACTGTTGGAGGTGTGAACGAATCAGAACTTCTCTAGGAGCTTGAGCGATGGCTTGGAGGAGAGGAAGCGGCCCTAGAGGCTACTCAGAATGAAGTGGCTGTGGGTTATTGTCAGCAGCCGAGGCAGCAGCCCCAAAGATTGTTTCCGCATGTTTTGGGAAACTGAAAGAATGAAAATCCTGAAGCCTACAGGGGAAAGCTTCTCAGCTGAATGGTGTTCTCCCCTTGAGGGGTCCCCATGGTGCTGTGCCCCCTTTTTAGACCTCTCCACTTGCTCGCTTTTGCCTTCACCCTTGGCCAGCCGCTCTGTGCTTTAACAGGCTGTGAGACATTTTCCATCTTTTACTCATTTCTTTCCCCATGCCAGACTTTCGGAATGACTCTTGAAGGCTTCCTTTCTACCTACTCCATCCTTCACTCCTACGTCTCTCCCTTTCTTTCCCTTCTTACCTGCCTGGACTGCACCTTTGCCAGTGTTACACTCCCACCCAGAGATGCTTTCTTCTGTGCAGCACCTGAGAGGAGCATCATTCCCAGTCCTGGGCTTTAGGGTGGAAACAGAGGAACCAGTCAACACGGCATGGTGTGGGGTTATTGAGGGCAGACACCAGGCCCTGGGGCAGAAAACCACTGACTCGCCCCAGGAAGGCGGGGAAACTCCACAACGCATAGCACTTTCTTGTGTGAGTAGGGCTCACAGGAGGCAGCGGGGAATTAAAGACGAGGCGGTGACATGTACAGAGCTGCGGAGGACCGGAGGCATGAGTCCCGCGTGTCGGGGCCGCTGCAGGACTGAGACGGCCGAGGAGCGTGGAATTCCCCAGCAGGGAGAGGCCATCTTGGGCTCCTGGGCCCTGATAAAGTCCGATTTGTGTTCTAAAAATATCGCTCTGCCACAGCATGAGGGTCGGTGGCCCCCTTGGGGTGTTTCCACAGAGTTGGAGGGTTCCTAACTTATTCTCAACACTGCTCTCCATGAGCTAAGTCTCAGCCTTATTTGACATCATTAGTCTCATTCTTGGCCATGCAGAGCGAGCCATTATCTTAGTACAAATCCTATCTGTGGCATTGTGTGTATAAAGAGACACAGAAGCAAGGTAAGTGTGACTTGCGCTTTGTCAGCACAGGCAACCTTGTAGGAAAGATTCCACGTTTACGGGAGGACCAGTTAAGGAAGTGACAGTGCAGACCAGCGTGTGACTAGAACAGTGAGCGTTAGGGTGATGCCTGTGACAGGACTTGAGAAGTCGGCTCACGAAGCTGTTCGAGGAGATCAACCGGGTGAATCCGCGGGGGTGAAAGATAAGTTCTGTGGAGTAGATAGTTTCTGACAGCAGTTAAATACGGGGCTTTTCAGCCTCTGATAGGTGAATAGAAATGGAGCTCAGAAAAGAAAATTTAGAATTACTAGTAGAAGGTATTTGTTCATTCAAATTGTGAGATACAAGTCCTTGAATCATCTAAAGAAAAAGATCAAGAAAAACACCGGTCAGTAGTTAACAGTAAAAGCGACTCAGGCAGACGGGCAGCGGCCTGCGATCAGAAGGTGCTGGGGGCCCTGGGGCGCCAGGGTGCAGTCACAGGGTGGCCACTGACCACTGGCTTCCTGGCATGGCCTCTCCTCCTTGCTTGGTCAAAGTCAAGCCCCTTCTTTAAGGCCTGCTTAATTCCCCTATCGGCGGCAGTTAGTTACTTTTTATAGCTTTTTTGGGTGATCTCTTTTCACTGCCACTGTCTGCTTGAGGAGGTCTGCTGCTGCTGGAGACAGAGAACGGGGTGGCAGGCCCCTCTGGCCCGCTCCGGTAGCTGGCGGCGTTAGGCGCACCTGGATTAGGGGCACATACATCTACTGATGGAATCTGGATGTTGACGAATGACTGGAAATGTGGGCATTTCCCAGAAACGCGGGTCCATCTGGCGAGGGTGTCTGAGATGCCAGGTGTGCGCCTTCCCGGCGCAGGCCCTTTGCCACACCAGAGCTTAGGAGCAGATCTGAAAGATGCCCAGACCACACTGACCCCAAACAAGGGTTCTCATGACACCACAGCCCACCTCCAGGAAGCCCTTCTGCACCATTGGGTTTCTGGTTCACGCGTCAGCACCGTCCCTGGCTCTGAGGTCACACTTGACACGCACCTGCTTCTCTAGACTCCCTCGGGAATCCTCGAGAGCTAACTGTTGATCTCAGCCCTTGTAAAGAGCCCAGGCTTAGGTAAATGCACCTACCCACGTATGTCAGCGCCAGAAAACACGTAACCTGTCGTCAGAAGAGGGGGTGGTCGGGCCCCGGGTTGGAATGGATGACTGTTAGTGAGGATGTGTGTGGCAAGGAGAAGCGGGGGGGTGAGTGATGAGTCACTGGTGAAAGTGCAGTGAACTCCGGGCCTAGAGCATCAAAGTCATCTTCAGAATTCTTTCATTCTGACTTTGGAACATCCCGTATCATCTTTCCAGCAAATTAACCATTCTCATGGTTGTTCTACTTAAGCTTAGATTAAAATCAGTGTACCTTTTCCGATTGTATATTAAAGTATATGGTCACAGTGGCTCAAATGGTTATTAAAAGATAAGTAAATTTGATAATTACCACATATGTAATTGAGTTAGATACTATAATTTAGTTTCTCCATATAGTTGATTTCTAATTAGCCATGAGCAGCTTGTCTATATTCTAGAATTTAGTCATATATTTCACTTAAATACATACTCAACATGGTGATCTTTCTTATACAATTTTTTTTCTTATTTCTAACTTAAAGATTTAGGTTTCCTTTAAGAAAATCCCCAATTTAAATTGGTAAGTAGGGTTTGTTCTTAATTTGATATCATAGGACATGGAATCATATTTTGCCTTTTTTCATTTGCCTTATTTTTTTGACCTAGAGACGTCATTGGGAGATGAAAGATCTCCAAGTTCGTTAGCAAATAATCTTTGGGAAAATCTTTCACTCAGCTTAGGGCAGCAGTCTTATGTAAGATCATGATTGCCAACTGAAAGAACAAGCACATTCCAAAATAATTTCACTTGAAAATATTGTCATTCTTTTACCAGAAAATCTAAGCCAAATTAAAACTGTTTAGGTCCCAACATGGAATGTCTCTTAATAAATAAGAGTTAAATATTTCTTAGCCATTAGCAAGAGACGTTTGTTAAGTATTTAAAGAGCATCTTTTCATTCTTAATTTTTTTGGCCTACTTTATTCATATTGAAAACAAAAGACATGCTTTCATGTGTAATTGTTATAGGACTTGTCAGTTTTTAAGCTCTATGATCTAATGAAAACATTTGACAAGCTCCGTTATTAGACGAGTTACCTCAGTCATTGAATGAACCACCTTTAAAGTCCTTAACTTTTACAAATGACTCACAGTGAGTCATGAAGTTTGTTATTAAGACAAATGACTGCTTTTTGACAATAAGTAAGTCTTCAGCTGCTGATGATTCATTCTTTTGATGATCATTTTTAAAAAGCGCGTTCTGCTCCATCCTTTTCATTTTTAGAAATGACTCTTAACAGTGTAGTGAAGTGATAGATTATACTCTGCTTTCTTTAACCTTTGTGATACTAAATTAAATACCATATATGTGTATGTGTGTATTCATAGATGTGCCTTGTATGTGTACATCTGTTTGCACACACACACAAAAGGTGTCTGTGAATGGGTTTTCTTACCCTGCTGGGGACAATCAGGGTTACGAGGAAGGAAACTGAACATCTGCCGCTCAAGGTTAAGCAAAGGATGGAGGTGAGTCAGCACAGGTCAGCCAGGTGGCCCAGGCATGGCTGGAAAGCTGGGTCCAGCTAGGCTCCGGGTGTGGAGAGCCTGCCCTGGCAGGAATATGGGTTAGAGTATTGGAGCCTGGTCCACTTAAGGAGATGCAGTTTCTTTGAAATGGGAGCTTCGCAGCCTCCAGCCCTAGTGAGAAGTAATTAAGACCATTTACAGGTAGTTAACTCAGCCGTAACTGGAAGGCAGCTGTTGGCAGAGCCGGTCAGCACGCCTGCCAGTTCCAGTTCCCTCACCTTTTTCCCTTTTAGGTCACACCAGTCTCTCCAGTATCTCACAGGCCTCTTCCCTTCTAGCCCTGGGGGCAGCGGAGATCGCTGTGACTATAACTGGTCTCCGTCTCCCTCCTTCCTCTTCTCCCTGAACTGCGGGTCCCATCACCTGCGCGGCGCGTGTCCACCCTCCGCGTGGCTCCGGCCAGCCAGGCCGTGCCCCTGAGGGGTGCTCGCTCGGAACCGGGTGGCCTCTCCCCTTTGGGTTAGCGGGTGAATCCAGCGCGCCCCTGCGCATGCCGGGCCGGTGTACCCTGGCCTGCCGGCCCAGGCGCGCCCCGGGCCGGGGCCGTGCACAGAGCCAGCTCTCTGTCCCGCAGGTACACGCCCTGCAGCTACCGCGGCATGGAGGAGCGACTACCTCACGGCAGCATGTCCCGGCTCACTGACCACTCGCGCCACAGCAGCTCGCACCGGCTCAACGAGCAGTCCCGGCACGGCAGCGCGCGCGACCTGAGCGGCAACCCGCTGACGCACATCACGCACGGCACCAGCATGAACCGGGTCATCGAGGAGGACGGCACCAGCGCCTAGGCGGCGGGCGGTGCGCCGGGCCGGGCCGGGCCAGGCCGGAGGGGGTGGCCAGGCCGGAGGGACCGGCCGGCGGGGGTGGCCAGGCCCGAGGGGGTGGCCAGACCGGAGGGACAGGCCATTGCGGCCAGCGCGCACCGTGCTGCGAGTGGCGTCATCACGTAAATAATCCTTATTTCTAGGTGACGAGGGGATAATTATTTGTCTGGTAAGCATTTTTATAAATCTATTCAATACTTATTTTGTATTTGGAGGACTGTCCGCGCGTGGCGACTGCTTTGTGGTGGACGTTTTCTCACCTGAGTAGTCGTGAGGCGACGTCCTGGTAGTTCTGTTCAGAAAACAAAAGCTCAGAATTACACTTTCTATGCAAGGTTTACTTCTCAGATGAATCCTAGGACTTTGTAGTTTCCTTTCCACGAAGTGAAAAAAGAACTGTTTTTACACTGCAGGGGAATTTGATAAATGAGCAAGGGTATGGGGCCGAGGGAACAGCGCCAGCGGGGTGCGGCCACGTGTCGGCGGGGGAGGCCGCGCGGGGGCGGCCCCGCTGACGCCAGACGGGCATTTACCCCTCTGTCATCGTGCTGTCTTTCTTACTTTTGTAAATATTACTTTGCCAGTTTTTATAACATCCACATGCATGATGGAACTTTTTTACTTTGGAGCCATTGCCGGCGTAGACCGCTGACTCACAGAGGCCAGGCTCAGCTCTGGCCTGCGAAGCATGGCCGTGCGAGGTTTTCTGTAGTGACCGCCGTTGCAAAGCGGCAAAATGTTTTCTCCGTGTTCATTGTTGTATCTTTGTGCAGTGAGGTGTGACCTTGCCAGAGCCCAGGTCTTGGTGCCCAGGCCGCCCCACTGAGCAGGGACTGGCCACACTTGCCTTGCCCAGTGACCAGAGGCTACAGCTTTCACCCCACACCCTCATTTCAGATTCCCGATTGTTCTTGTTTACAGCTCAAGTATCTGTATATAACTGAGTCCACAGTAGTGACATTTCGGTATCTGAAAATCACTGTAGCTAAATGAAGCATGATGTGTCTTGCTGTGAAGTATCTTTTAATCTTACAAATATCAACTCAAAAATGATAACTTGTCCCATAGTGTTTAAATAATTTACATAAAAGTGTAAATTTTATTAGGCATGAAAATGATCAGAAGGGAAAGAAAAATTCTGGAACAGGCTAGGTGTTTTTTATGTTAACAAGCATATTGAGACAAGCTGTCCTCAGTTCTAACTAAAGGTAAGAATCACTCGAGATCTCGTTCCCAACACCTTCCTCTTACCAAGGCGAGATTTGGTACTGTTTATTTTGTTTGTTTGTTTAAGTTGTCAAGCTGATTCTAACCTGCAGCCAGGCGTGAAGCCTTCTGTTTTAAGTTACGTGCCCCTGAGGACGATTTGATAGCATCATATTATACCGTGTGGACACCTAGCTGGACTCAATTTGTATGTTTCTACATCAGTACTTGACATATGATTGTTCTCCATTTTATTTATTCTCCATTAAAATTGTGGAATTCTGCCCCACTCCTGGAGATTCTTAATCAGGTAGTGAAAGGCAGTAGGCCTTTAAGCTCTGTAGTTATAAAATGCCACCAGTGGTCTCTTATGCAGGCAATCCAAGAATCCCACTTTGAAAATCGTTGTGAACTCCAAAGAGACCTGGCTTTGCCATACGCTGGTTTTGACTTATAACAAGTCAACCTCTCTGAGACTCAGAGAGCCTGTTTGTAAATGAAGATAGAAGATAAACACCTACCTCACGTAGCCGTCAAATGGGGAGCAAGTGGAAAACCACCCGAAAATCCCTAAAAACTGTAAAGCTTGGTGAGAGGTGAGACTAAGGGGTGAAGGTTCCTGAGGGTTGAAGAGCGTAGTTTGAAGGCCACAGCAGTACAGTCTTTGAGTGTGTTTAATCCACGTGTGCTTTTCTCTACGTCTTTAAAACAGACACAAGTGTTGAGAAATCAAGTGTTGAGAGCAGCTTTCATCACACACTTTCTGGTCATGATAATCTGTTCGCATATCATCGTGTTTCTTTGATTCTGTAGATCATTCTCCAGAAGGTGTGTTTGAACTTCTGGCCCAAAACATTTTCCTTTTCCTCTGTTGTCTTTCTCCAACTGCAGTCAGTGTTCAAGACAGGCAGACTCTGAATTCCCTGGTAACCCACAGCAAACCTTTTCTTTGAAGGCCAAATCTGTAACAGCTCATTTCTAAATAAATCAGTAACTCGTGAGACTTTTGTCTGAGAGTCTCTCCTGAGAACAGCATGAGAGGAACAAAACAAACATTCAGATGCGAAAATAAGAAGTTAAAATAGAAGGTACCAGTTTGAGCTCAAAGATGTCAGCTATCACCATCTGCATTATATCATCAATTGCCAGCATGTTAATTAGTTTCTTGTACAAGTGGGTCAAGTATATCAGTGAAGTGAACATTGCCATAAAAATCTTAACTTTGTGCTTCCTGAGTTTTATATATTCATTTTATATATTCATCTCTATTAAGCTAATTGTTGATATATATGTAGATATTATATTGAACTTTCAGTATTTTCATTTTGCTCCATAAATTTTAATATTGCTCATCCATTGCTTTAAAGAACAGTATTTCATTTGGGCTGTGTTCTTTATTAAACCAGTGCTCCAAATTAAGATTTTTTTTTTTTTTGAAAAGACAGTTGAAGAACTGTAGCAGAACAACAGTTTCAAGTCGCAGCTAACTGAAGCCAACTTGAGCAAGTCTGGACAGCTTTCTTACCATATGTTTAACTTTAACTTGTGTTGCGATTGACATATGATAATGTTTAGTGTTTTCTTAGTTCAGTTGGCAACTGAGAAGGTAACAGTCCTCTCTCAAATGTTAATATATAATCAAAAGGCTCTTGAAAAGTACTTTGATTTTGGCAATATTATTTTATTCAGTAACTAAAGCAAAAGATCTGGAACAATATTAAGTTCAAGACAGTAACTGTTTTCAAAGAACAACTGATTAATTTCTCAACCACCAGCACAGGGCTTAGTACATAGCACGTTTTTCAATAAATATTTCAATGGGTTAACAACTCATACCATGCAACTCCTTTTATCCTAGTTGTGAGTCTCATTTCAAAAAAATTTGAAGGATCTAAATTTAAGTGAAGCAAAATAAAGCATCTACCAGAATCACATGGCAAGTAATAAGAAAAACGTCAGTTGCAACAAATGAAGCTTCTTTCTCCTAAAGTAACAATCTCCATGAATATTAAAAATACCTATATATTCAGAGTCAGTACTTTAAATCTTATATTAACGTCTAATATGCATCTTATGTTAGCTTCTAAAAGTGAGCAGCAGTCTGCAGAGGTGGCTTCTGTTGTTTCATGTAAGTTGTTAGAACTTTGTCCCGTGTGGTGAATGAATATTCAACCAAAACTCGATGAGTCATGATTTTCATTTTCTGATACTTAGAGCAGGTTTATAAAAGTTCTCGGAGAATGTCTTCAAAATACGAAAATGTACGACATTTCAACCTACCTCATTAGTGTCTTTGTGATAGTGGCAGGAAGTTACTGGAGCTGTAATTGTCTCAGTTGGGCTCTGTCCCTGTAAAGTAAAGGGAACGACTTAAATTTTTTTTGATAAAGAAGAGGATCATTGGCACTGGCTTAGAAAACATTAATAGACCAAAATTTAATGATGGTGATGTTTATACAGCTCCTGACATGCCAAAGGTACATTTACACCGGTTATCACACTTGGTTGACTTACATAGCCTGGCGGGTGGCATTTCCTCTGGATGTGGATCCTGAATGGATGGGTCATTTTGCTTCTTTTAGTCTCAGGTTCTCACATATGAAATGAGGATGAGGTCATTTGGCCCCAACCTCCCTCACTGGACGTTATGTGGATCACATGGGGTGATATGTCACCAGGTTAGAATGTGCTTTCCGGTACATTTATTTCTTTTGGAACTTGGTATATGTGTGTATGTTTGTGTGTGTGTGTGTGTTGGGGGGGGCGGGGCTCCAGAAAACAAGAAGAAATCTTGTTTAATGCCAACGATGAAGTAGGCAGTTGACGCCTTCTGAAGGAGTCTGGCTGACCTCTTCCAGCCAGGTTCTGTTCCAGAGGCACCATGCTCTTGGATTGTGTGTGTGGGCTGTGATTTCTGCTCAAGTTTTATATGGTCAGATTTGTAGATCAGTTTCAGCAGAAATTTGGGGATCTCTGTGAAATGTCCCTTGTATATGGAATTACATAAATTCATGAGCTTGAGTTGACTGACATAAGACAAGTACAGAGTGTAGGCCCAGCATGACTTCTTGGAGGGCTTCCCGGTTCTTGCTGATTGGGAACAGACCTTGCTGGGACATTATTGTAACTTGTTGGATTTCATCATGGCAAAACTTTAACTCATCACTTTATCTGAATTATTTGTATGTTTGCTTAGATTTAGATGTAATTTTCAAGTCTGCCTAAAAATGTCTCCACTCTTTCCCATATATAAACACACAAAAGATAGTGTTTTAATAGACCCTTTATTTACAAAAATACTCTTAATCTTTTAAACTCCTTTTATGCCTTTTTACAACTGATGAAAATAAGAAAAGGTGTTTATAGTAATTCAGCTATGCTTCCTATAGCTGTGTAATTTTATACATTTTCATCACTTCTATTTTATATGAAAAAATTATGTTGACATTTCTTCAGAATTTAATATTCTTCTTTTTTCCCCTTCCATTTATATGAGTTCGGGAAAGGGACGAGAGGGCTAAACATCTTTTACCATACATCTCACTATAATTAGTCTCCTGAGGTTTTTGGTCTAATTTAATTTTAGTCTGTACTCTTGAATGCAGAATTGACAACAAGATTACTGTTTTCTTACCGCTTCCAAAATCTTGTAAAAAAAAATGTTAGGTTCTACCCAGAACAGCCCTCTTTGTTGACATTTTTACGCATTTGATTTGTGATGATTTAGTGTAACATGTTTCTTGTAATCTATAACTAGAAAATAAGATTAATTTTTCCATAAAAA